CCTATCTCAGTAACTGTATTAGGCTAGGTGTTTGTTAAAGTTGCTTCTTTTTCTACTTTGTTTTTATTATTTCTATATCAATAATGAATTTTTACCATTTCAAATCATTTTTCTAATGTGGCAAATTATTAATTACCAATGAATGATTAAGAAATAAATATTTTTACTAAAAGTTCAGCCCCATTCCTAGGTAACATAGGGACCCAAAGGAATTTACACTACTCTTCCTCACATACAGATGTTGTTGCATATTTTTGGTGTTGATGTTGAAGATATTTAGATGATGTTGGTGGAAGGTGGAGGCCAGTAAAATTAATAGGAGATCTGGAAGAGTATAAGTCTGGAATAAACTATGGTAAATTGGAAAAATGCTTGCTTTCAGGCCCTCAGATTTATTTCTAAAACACTTTGAGGTCACCCCTTGCCACCACAGAAGAAAAAGAAAAGAAAAACACTTGTAGCCAATTTTCAGAATCATCTTGTAGTGGCGTATTTGATTGCTATTTAGACTCCATTTATGCTTCTGCTCGAAAACCCTGTGGTCCACTTTAGACATTACTGTATTTTTCAAGAAGTTTTATTGTATAATAAGAACTATTTCATGGATAATCCAAAGTGAAGTAAACCATTTTAAGGAAAGCACCTTTGGTCTGCAGATGACTCCAGTACCAATGTGAGACTAGGGCCACGGGATAGAAAGGCAGACTGCAGTAGGAAGAAGCCTAGGAGAAATGGGTCAGAAATCTAAAGGAATATCACAGCTCATGAGTGCAGAACTGCCTGTCAACATTCCAGGATGAATTCATGGTTGTGCTCTTGAGCAAATACTTGTTTATGGCCTGGGAGGAAAGTGCCTATTAACCAAGCTTTGTTGATAAGTTAATAAAGAGATGACAGCCATCTTCCTATTGAATTCCTTGCCTCTCTGGGCTGAATACACTGTCAACTACCAATAAATAATAATCATGATTTCACTTTCTGCCAGATGTTTCCTATAAATCATGAAATTCAAAGGCATATTTGAAGCCTCAACAAAATTATGATTGCGGTCACTTGTTGCAGTTGTTCATAGCCTTTCTCAGAAAAGAGATTTTATAACAAATCCAGGTAGTTACTAGAAAAATTTCATTAGGAGGCATGTGGTTTTTCACTTAGGTTATATATCAACCACTGAGTACTATTTCTTGGGAGTCATCCCAGTTAACAAAGAAGATCCATCCATTCATTCCATAATTGTTTACTGAATACCAGCTTCATACTAGGCACTGAACATACTGTACTAAATACAGTAGTCAAAGTGCCCATCTATATGCAGCTTACTTTCTGAGAGTGATAAATATCTGAGGAAATAAATATATAATATAAATACATAAACAAGATAATTTGGGTGTTCTTAAGCCACTTCATTAAAGTATGGCTGACATGTAAAATACTGCATATATTTAATGTATACAACTCAATGAGTTTGGGGATAAGTATGCACTCATTAAACCATCCAGGCCATAGACATATCCATCACCTCCCAAAGTTTCCTCTGACCCTTTTTATTAGTATTGTTGTTATTTGTGTGTGTGTGTGTTAAGAACACTTAACATAAGACCTAACCCCTTTCCGAATTTTAACTATACAATACAATAGTGTTAGCTATAGGCACCATGCTGTACAGCAGATTGCATAGCTGTAGCTTTGTACCCTGTGACTATGACCTCCTGGTTTCCCCCTCCCTCCAGCCACTGACAACAACCATTCTATTCTCTGCATCTGTAATTTTGACTATTTTAGATTCCAGATACAAGTGAGGCGATGCAGTAGCGTCTTACCATGTCTGGCTTATTTCACTTAGCATGTGCTCCAAGTCCATCCATGTTGTCACAATGGCAGGATTTCCTTATTTTTAAGGCTGAATAATATGTAATTGTATGTATATACCACATTTTCTTTATCCATTTATCTGTGAATGGACATTTAGGTTGTCTCTGTATCTTGGCTATTGTGAATAATGCTGCAGTAACCATGGGGGTGCAGGTATATCTTAGAGATCCTGATTTCAATTTCTTTGGATATATACCTAGAAGTGGAATTGCTGGATT